AAAAAAAAAAAAAAACATGATTTGATTGAAACGAGGAAGATTGTAATTGTTTACTTTAGACTCTTCCTAATACTTCTTCTGGGTGATAAAAAACCAAGACTTGGGATGCCTCTGAATATTTTCATCATCTTCGTGCTTTTCGAGCGTCACATTGTGATAGTTAGTTGATTGATATTTTTTTCGGCAATAGCTTTTGGCCATCTATATCACTCTGCATAGGTAATAGATAAGTTGATGGCACTAGAGTGCACTCCATCATATCAATTTCGATTTCATTCTTGTTGCAGGCTATTCTTGATCGGTCTCGATAGGTATGGTAAAGGTGACTGGAGGAGTATTTCAAGGAATGTAGTTGTGACAAGGACTCCAACTCAGGTTGCTAGCCATGCTCAGAAATATTTTCTCCGTCACAATTCAGCAAGAAAAGAGAGGAAAAGATCGAGCATTCACGATATCACGACCGCTGATGACAGCTTGACAGTGCCTGCACCGACCAACCTTTCTAACCAGGGCGGATTTCAAGATTTTGGTTATCCCATGCCTTGATGATGATGATGGATTAGAAGGGAAAAACTAGCTAAACACACTCTTATGAATGTATATAGTAGTTTTCTTGAATACTGACTGGTAAATTTGTACAGCTGCATTAGTCTTTTCCTTGTCTAGTAAACATTAGAGATATATATATGTTAGGTTTTAGATTTTAGAGCATTGTATTCATTTCATTGCTATTTTTTTTTTTTTTTTTCGTGTGTAAGTAAGAGATTCTATATATCTGCTTGGGTCTAAATTGGTTGGTTTTATGTAGTAATCTCTCCCTTAACAAATGCATTGTCAATATAACTAACCTTGAGAGCTACTACACTTCATGGCCAGTAGGAAGATTGTAAGTTCAGCAATCAGACTCTTCCTCCAATGAGACTGAGTTTCGGACTGTTTTTAAAACTCGACTGCTAAAGCTCCATTTTGAACAACTTGACCAATCGATTATATCATCGACAACTCCAACATCTATATTACTTTTATTATTTATTGACCTACAGCTGAAAATTGAATACTTTCACATCAACTATCAATAAAACGAAACTACTGTTATGTACCATTTTAAGGTACCTGACAAGTTCAAAATATATGCATATCATAGCATTACTCAGCTTTCAATTTTTTTTCAACCTAGTGAGAAAGTCTTATTGCCGCTTTCCATTTCAATGTTGAATGATTATTGTGTCCTGTGGCGAAATATGGTACTGAAATGCAACCACAGCACTAAACCTTTAGAACCCTAAGATATGAAATTCAATTGCCAAGTCGAACCAAACTCAATGAGCCATCTCAAATAAAGGAGAAACACTTGGGATCAAAGCTTAAACAGGGCAGCTTTTATCATGGTCAAGATCTCGAACGAAAGTTAACCCTACAGCAGAACCCTCAAACCACACCTTTATACAAAGATCAAACACA